AGGTCAAGCCATTGACCTAAATGTATGCAAAAAATTAGCCAGATATACCGAGTTTAAGTACCCCTAAAGTCTGCGTTGAAATGACCCTATGTTTTTCCCATAAAATACAAAGATTATATAGGGAAATACAACTGGTCAGTTTTGACCCCTTACGAAGTTTTCCCAGATATGCCGAGTTTTTTGTGACACCCCAAGACTTTCTCCTACCACCTCACAAAATTTCAAGGGGGGTCGTCGGAGGAATTTTTTTTTCGTAATATAGCCCATATAAGGCGGTCGTCAGTCGAGGTCAGTTTTGACCCCCTCTCCGTCGACTTTTCGGCCAACCATCACCGGCCCCTCGTGTTCTATCTCCCCAAGGCACCATCGTGCCAAATTTGACCACTTTGCTTTATATTATTATATAGATTTAAAACTAGTGGTTTAAAATTGTTTTATGAAAAAAAAAATTTTTGGGTGGCTGAAATGGCGAAAACACAGGACAGTAAAATTCCATTACACTATTCCATTACATATTCCATTACAATAATTCCCATTACAATATTCAATTACTATATTCCATTACTATATTCTCTTACAATATTCCCATTACAATATTCCATTACTATATTCTCTTACAATATTCCATTACAATATTCCATTACAATATTCCATTACAAGTTCTGTTACTTGAAGAGTACAAATCCAGGATAAACTTGGTACACCCCTGGTATTACAACTACAGTGGCTTTACAATCGTGCTTGACTATAATTTTCTTTAAAAAGGCATAACTGTACTTAAAAAAATGTATTATGATAACAAGATTAACCCTTTATCTACTGACGGTACTTATAAGTACCACTTTAATTAAGTGCCTGTATTATTTTTAATTAAATACGAATTTTAAAAATTATTGATGTATTTTATAGTATTATCTCCCCCGAGTCGCCGGTAGTTGGAGGTATCAATGTTTTTAAAAAAATTAATGGTGTGGCGCTTTTTCAATGTCTTGCTATATCGGTAGTTCACAATTTTTCTGAACATTTCTCACACACGTTCCTGGTTTCCCTTTGTTTTACCTTATTTTTCAAGTTTTCAACCCCAAATATTTTTTATTGGCACCTTCAATAGTCAGGCAAACGCGTTTAACTTCTAGTTATACAATTTTAATCAAATTGTCTTTGTATTAGATCAATGTTTACAAGTGGACTTATAAGTACCGTCAGGGCACACGGTCATTTTTTTAGGATTTTTAGAAAATTGCAGATTTGTTAGGTGGAGTTACATAAATATTGTCTTGATAATTACTTATCGAAAAGTACTCAAAAAAATGATATTTACACATTTATAAGAAGGTTTGCATATGGTTTACCTAAGAAATATTGTAATTGCATGTTAATTTCTAGTAGTAAAAAAATAACAAGAATAAAGGAATAAGTTGCAGGCTCGTTTATAAGGTTTAGTATACTTCATTTGTATACCAAAGCCTAGTTCAGGTAGTAAGATTTAATTTGTTAGTTATATTTACTGCAATAAACTGTCTCGCCTACAACAACTAGCATTTACATAATGTATACCTGTAGACTAGTAACAGTCCATACTTCTGCATATAGTATAGATCTATAAGGTAAATTTTAATCAGTAAACAGAAAAGAGTAATCCACTACTTCTTCCAAAACACATTGAGCTCACTTCTATTTATGAACTTTGCACTGTAGTGTAGACTTGTCATAACATTATAGTAGACTACAATTATATTAGTATTTCTAGTAGTTGTGTGCTGAATGACTAGGCTTTTGTTTGTTTATGCGGCTCATTGTACTAGTTATTGGAAGCTTCCAGCAAAAGCATTTTCATTCCGGCAACCGTTGCTACACCAGAAAGACCACACACAAGATTGAGGGAGCATGACATGTCGACTACTTTTGCTGTGTTTGAGGTCTAAGATGTGTTCCGATAGAAAATCCAGTAAAAATCGTACTCAAAGATACTTTTGTGCTGTATTTATGTGTGAAAATTACAAAAGTGATTGTTATAATGATTGCCATGTTATTAGTTAATAAATTGTATCGTTTGTTCCTGTTTTGTAAAAAACATTTTTTTGAAAAAAATGTCCTAGTTTACTGACGGTACTTATAAGTACCAATATCTGTTTGGGCCATTAAAAATTTATGAAACGAAATTTCCTTCGATATATGCTTTGAATGTGCCAAAAGCAATATAGTAACACCTTGTTTAAGTAAAAATCTCATTCAGAACATAATTCCGTAAATAAAGGGTTTAAAAAACATCTCTCCATTCCTTTTCTAAATAAACCTGTAGGCATATTGGATTTATAGAGCTGCTTGTCTGGATCAAATAGTAGGCACAGGGTTGTATAAAATACTAGCCATCGGTACCGTTGTTGTACTTGTTTGAGAAAATAATTTATGAAATAGTTATTGCTCAAAACGCAATGTGCTTTACTACAAGCAGAGTTTCTTCCAGGCATCTCTTCGGGGGAGCAAAGCCCCCCCCCACCCCCCCCCCCCCCCCCCCCGAATTTTTTTTACCGCCCCCCCCCCCCCGAACGAAATGAAACTTATATAATTTATATAGAAAAATATATATTTTTAACAGTGTCCCCCCCCCCCCGAAGAAAGTCTACCGCCCCCCCCCCCCAAATATTTCAAGTGCCCCCCCCCCCTCCCCCGGAGAAAAGTCTGGAAGAAACACTGACTAAGAGCTGAACGATATTAGTGACAAAGCAAAGAAATAACTAATTAGCTAAAAAACGACACTTTTAACATAACACAGACACACACTGATTAAGTGACTTAAATGATTCCGTTAAAAATCTGGCTATTCAATGGTCACTATGTTGTTTTTAAGGTATTTGTATTAGTTTGACCGATAAAATTGTATATATTTCATAGCGTACGTCTTGATGAGTAGATCTATAGATCTAGATCTAAATCAAATTTGAATGTAGTTCCTTTCTTTATATTCTAAAATCGAAAGAATAGTTCATTTCTTTTTATTCTAAACTCGGCAGATGACGTCATTTGTTAATGTATAAACATTAGTGACGTCATTGTTTCATGGGTTCTGTTTCACAACTATAAACACTTTTCCTGTTGCATAATTTAAACAGTTTTTCTACATTCGAATATGCCTTTTTTATTTTTCTTCTTTAAATAAAATGTTGGTTATACATTTAATACATCTACCATATTATTTTCAACAAAAATCCGTATCAAGTTCTCCATATATCGCTGAAGATTCTGATGTGATACCCTGTGAAAATATTTTGCGGACAGAGAGAGAGAGAGAGAGAGAGAGAGAGAGAGAGAGAGAGAGAGAGAGAGAGAGAGAGAGAGAGAGAGAGAGAGAGAGAGAGAGAGAAAGAAAGTTAGAGAGAAAGAGAAAGAGAGAGATAGAAGTGCGCACATGGTCTTTTATATATTAGGATATTTCACTGTATTATGTTTGTAGATGTGATCAGTCCACCAAACATTTGCAGATCTGACAAAGTAAGCTAATCTGATGTAATTTAATCATCTGTTGTGTTTTATAACCGAGACCAATCAAAAACACATTTATTATTTTAGGGGAGCTAAATTTTAAATAACCATTGTTTGACATGAAACGATGACACTGTAGAGCTTGGGAAATTATGTCCGACTAAAGAACAACCATATATTTTCATAGGAGGGAAAATCTCATACTGGTATTTTTAAATTTAGAGGGAATATAGCGTATGGTTATGACATTCGTCATTCATTTAGATTGCAAGAAACAAATAAAAAACCGATTGAATTATTTTTTTTTACCATCGTTAAGAGAAGAAAGTTTAGGGGAGATCACTCCCGGTTTATTTTACCATCGTTAAGAAGAGAAAGTTTTGGCGCTTCTACTACCCGTTCAACTCCTTAATTAATCCACCACTGACAGCTATGGTTTTACAACTGCATCTGTCAATTAGCAATGGATTTACAACTGCATCTGTCAATTAGCAATGGCTTTACATATATATATATATATATATATATATATATATATATATATATATATGTATATATATATATATATATATATATATATATATGTATATATATATATATATATATATATATATATATATATATATATATATATATATATATATATATATATATATATATATATATATATATATACATATATGTCAATTAGCAATGGCTTTAGAACTAAATGTTGTATACTCTTGAGAGAAAGCGAGTCAAATCCTTGTAGCTCACAAATCATGTCTAGTTTCGGTTTTAATTCACATTAATTCGTACTCAAAAACAATGTAACTAATTGAGCTGTCACTTCAAACGACTAATTTTGAAAGCATATGTTACCTCCATACAGGGACGTAGCGAGGGGGGGGGGGGGTGCGGACCGCACCGGGTGACACCATTAAGTGCCGCACCGGGTGACACCCGACCTCGCTACGCCACTGCCTCCATAGAGATTTCGAACCGTACAAATACCCGGACCTGTAGGTCTACACATTTAATGTCTGTTTTAAAGCTTTGGCCTATCGCTAGCTGGTCGTGCGGAATCAAAATGGCCTGTGACATCATGGCTCCATCAAAATGGCCTGTGACATCATGGCTCCGTCAAAATGGCCTGTGACATCATGGCTCCATCAAAATGGCCTGTGACATCATGGCTCCATCAAAATGGCCTGTGACATCATGGCTCCATCAAAATGGCCTGTGACATCATGGCTCCATCAAAATGGCCTGTGACATCATGGCTCCATCAAAATGGCCCTATCATCTTCATTAGAACTCCTCGTCATCCCCGACATCCGGACGGTGGCCGAGCGTGTCCTACCGTACGGAGGGTGTCCTACCGTTCGGAGGGTGTCCTACCGTACGGAGGGTGTCCTGCCGTACAGAGGGTGTCCTGCCGTACAGAGGGTGTACACTCAAGACATTCACACACTGAGGTGTCTGTTGGTGGTGTGGACAAAATCGATAATTGTATGACGTCGTATTGTCGTCCACAGTTGAGTGACGTCGACGCAGGGGGAGCGACTGTGTTTCCACGACTTGACCTGCTGGTCCAACCTGTCAAGGTAAGGCCGCTCCACGACCTTCACATTGGCTAGGGTGGCGCTAATTGATTACATTTTTGTTAGGCTGGAGCTAATTGATTACATTTTTGTTAAAGTGGCGCTAATTGATAACTTTTGTTAGGTTGGCGCCAATTGATAACTTTTGTTAGAGTGGCGCTAATTGATAACTTTTGTTAGGATGGCGCTAATTGATAACTTTTGTTAGGGTGGCGCTAATTGATAACTTTTGTTAGGATGGCGCTAATTGATAACTTTTGTTAGAGTGGCGCTAATTGATAACTTTTGTTAGGGTGGCGCTAATTGATAACTTTTGTTAGAGTGGCGCTAATTGATAACTTTTGTTAGGGTGGCGCTAATTGATAACTTTTGTTAGGGTGGCGCTAATTGATAACTTTTGTTAGAGTGGCGTCAATTGATAACTTTTGTTAGGGTGGCGCTAATTGATAACTTTTGTTAGGATGGCGCTAATTGATAACTTTTGTTAGAGTGGCGTCAATTGATAACTTTTGTTAGGATGGCGCTAATTGATAACTTTTGTTAGGATGGCGCTAATTGATAACTTTTGTTAGGGTGGCGCTAATTGATAACTTTTGTTAGGATGGCGCTAATTGATAACTTTTGTTAGAGTGGCGCTAATTGATAACTTTTGTTAGGATGGCGCTAATTGATAACTTTCCTGCAGGGTAGCGCAGTGTTTTGGTATAACCTGTTAGATGACGGAATGTCTGACGTCATGACTGTCCACGGCAGCTGTCCAGTTATCTCAGGCGACAAATGGGGTAAGGCAAAATTTGGTTTGCCACATTTGATATAAGCCACACGTGGATATACGCCACACGTGGATATACGCCACATGTGGATATAAGCCAGGTGTAGATTTAAGCTAGGTGTGGATTTAAGCCAGGCGTAGATTTAAGCCACGTGTGGTTTAGGGTGGTATGCTGAAGCTCGAATGGATTCTGATGTTTACAATTTTCGCGGTTAACTCATATTAAAAACAAAATTAGAGGCTATAATTTATAAATAATCAGAGCTTAACATACATCAAATGAAATTGAGCTTAAATTAAATAAGTAAGTAGTTTGAGCTTTAAAAAAATCTAAGGAATTAGAGCTCAGCATATATCTAAGAAATATGAACTTAACAAATATCCAAATGTAAGGGAAGAACCGAGAGGTGATCTTATTCACTCATCCGTGCACTGTCGTTGGTACTAGGGGTTTACTAAACCTAAACAAAACTTCTTCTTCTTCGTTCTTAATTTTGAATATGGTGGAGGATTCAGACAACAAGTCCAACTTCGTGGACAAACCGGACTGTGGTCTCCAGTTTGTCAGGTGCCCCATATAATTTTTCCCTGAGTGGGGTGGGCTGGGGCCAGTGTCTGACTCTTGCCTGGCTATACAGAGTACATTCCTGGAGTACGTGCTCCGTGTTTTCTGGGGCCTTGCCACAAGGGCACATTTCGCTACACCCAACCTTCAGTTTTCTGTGCATGTGTTGATTTAGTCTGTTGTGGCCTGTTCTAAGTTGAAAGATTATGTATTGTTGTTTTCGTGTTAAATTATAATAGCCGTCGTCTTTAGTGTAGTGAGGGTGTGTGACAGACCACATTTGTGTTTGTTTGTTTTTTATTATTCTTTTTATTTCTTTTGGGTGTAGCGAAATTTCCGGTTGTGGTTTCTTTCCTCCAATTTTTGCCAGCTGGTCTGCGATCTCGTTACCCTGGATCTGGCAGTGGCCCGGGATCCACTGCAGCACAATTCTGCTGCAGGTATTTTTTAGCCTCTCTAGTGCTGTCATAAGTGTTTGAATATAGGACTCTGGATTTTGTAGGGATTGCAGGACTGATTTGGCATCTGTAAGAAATACAATCTGACTATTTGGTGATTCAGGGTGTTCTGACAGGAGGTTTGCTGCGTGTTCTAAAGCTTCTTTTTCTACCCTAAAATTGTCGGATAGGCTGCCTGTGGCTATTGCCTTTTCCAGGCTTTCTCCGCTTGGCCATTCAATAAGGATGCCAGCCCCGCCATTTTTTGTGGCATCTTCAGCTGAGCCATCTGTGAAAACTCTAATCCAGGTATTGCTGGGGTACTGATCCTTAATGTGTTTATTTGTTATTTTCTTAAGTTCTTCTAGATCATAGTCAGATTTTTTTCTATGGTGTCTATTGAGTCAATAACGGTTAAGTGACAGTGGGAGATCCAAGGCGGGGAGAGGTTTTGAGTTTTTATTGCTTCAGGAATGATATTTTCGATTTCATATTTCTTTTTCAGATTCTTTGCTTCTTTGATGAAACTTGTTCTTTGTAGTCTGGAGTTTTTGTTTTAGGTTATGGTTTTCCAGTGCCTCTAGCTTTGTGTATTGAGTGAGGATTTTTGATTCTCTTCTTTCTTCTATTGAGCTAAGAGCGGCTATTTCCTCCATAGCTTTTATGGGTGTTGTTTTCATGGCTCCTGTCATTATTCTCAAACCACTAAACAAAACAAACTAAACTAGACTAAGTAAATAAAAAATCAAAGTCAAGAGTAACTACGATATACTTTATTTGATCGTTAGAAATCCCGCCTAAAAATGTAAACCAAAAGACCAAAACTCAAAGAAAATTAAACCTCCCATGTAGTTATTATTAAACTCAAAAAAAATATAACTACAAAAACAAAGGAAGGAAAATATGACTACAAATAAATTGCTAAAACAAAGGATACTGCTTAAAAAACAACTGCTAAAAAAACCCAGCCAAAATAGGCTGACTACAATCAACACTGTAACAAAAAATATCATTAGAACATGTCTGCTTCTATATTCACTACACGAGAAAAATGGCCCGTTGAGGAAGGATACAACGGGCGCTAGGTTGATAGTGCTGTCTATTTTCTCTAAACTAAAACCAAAACCAAAATCACCATCTTAATTCAATTTAACCGGAAATAAAAAACGACATTGAAAACGGATTTTTATCAAAATATAGTCATAGGCATATCCCTGAACCATGCACCTAATCTCATTCATGACAAAAGTCGCATTTAGAGTTTCTTTCAGGCAACTCTACTTGGGAGGAGGGGGCTCCGCCCCCCCCCCCCCCACACACACCCAAAACATGACTACCGTCCCATTCAACGAAAATAATTATATACTTTTTCCAGTGTCCGCCCCCCCCCCCCCCCCAAAAAAAAAATTCAAGTACCCCCACCCCTCGCCGGGAGGAAAAAGTCTGAAAGAAACACTGGTCGCATTTGTAGATCATACAAATTAAAGGAAGAACCTGGGCGGGGAAGAGATGCATGAAAAAAACTGTGCACTCTAAAGTTTTTAGATTAGGAAAAGTTTCCCCCTCCGGGAAGGAAAAAGTCTGAAAGAAACAATGGTGTCACGCTTAGCCACTACCCGAAGAATTGCACGAAAGAAACTGCAAGCAAACCACTTTTTAGATTAGACACATTAATCAGGCAGTAATTTTTATTATAGATTATCGATGAAGAAATTTCTTTTGAGTTGGGGTGGGGGGTGGGGGGGGGGGGTCGGCTTAGACGTTATTTCTCGAGGGTGGGGCTTCGCCCCTACCCGAAGAATTGTATGAAAGAAACTCTTCACGCAAACCACATAGATTAGACAAAATTGGCTTTTTAATTCAATGTTTACTCGAGAATCAATGACGTCATATTATTTTGTGCACTCTCCCGGCTGTCGACTTTTTTCTACTATATGCTGAATATGACGTCATATTTCGCTTCCGCTTTACTGTGCTTGTGTTTTCTCTACAGCGTTCTTGTCAGACAGATAGATAGATAGATACACAGACAGCGAAACTATTATTATAGATGAATATAGCCTGCACAATACAACTATGGTTTTCTATAAGGCTAAATGATAACTATCCTAGTTTTCTTAAGGTATCAGTAAAAAAGAAAAATGTCTCACACTTACGTTTCGAGAATTTGACCTCACACAAAACAAAAATGCCTCAAGGTTCCTATTTGTGCACAATGTTGGCCTACGAAATTCTCGAAGCTAAATAGATTTTTTCACAAACTTTATTTTTAACGTTGATAACTTGAGCAACTGTTGTTCTATTCTGAGCGAGCACTGTCTAGACAAATTTCGAGCGCCTATATATAGACTAGTCGGCCCACCCCTTATTCCCCCCCCCCCCCCCAGGGCTATAGGGTCGCGAGTTGGGCTCCGTACCGTCACTCGACGTTCGATGTAACGACGGTCACTGTGCACTGATGCGTTGAACACCCGATAATTGACCGCTATAGATTTTCACGTTGCCTCAGGTCTAACGATCGTGTCATACGCCGCTCGAGCTAACGTACGACCACGATGTACTCTCGCCGCGCATCCCACCTGACAACTGACCACTACAGATCCCCACGCTGACTCGCGTCTAACTATCCGGCCCAGGCGATAATAAGTCCCTAAGGTCATCGGAATCGTTTCTGACGTCCACCTTCAGATCATGAGTCATGATCCAACCGTGACGTCCAGCGGCATGTCTCAACTTTAGACATAAATCACCGCGGGTGTCTTCTCATCATTACGTGTCACTCCTCATGCACCTGCATAGAGCTCGTAGCCATAACGCCTAGCGTGAGCTGATCACATTTTAATTAAATTTTAGACTTCCCCTGGCCTGCTCATCCCCAATATCTTAGATTAACTCCTTGGGTTAGGGTTAGGGTTAGATTAACTCCTTGGGTTAGGGTTAGGGTTAGATTAACTCCTGGGGTCAGGGTTAGGGTTAGATTAACTCCTTGGGTTAGGGTTAGGGTTAGGGTTAGGGTTAGATTAACTCCTTGGGTTAGGGTTAGGGTTAGATTAACTCCTGGGGTCAGGGTTAGGGTTAGATTAACTCCTGGGGTTAGGGTTAGGGTTAGCTTAACTCCTTGGGTTAGGGTTAGGGTTAGATTAACTCCTTGGGTTAGAGTTAGGGTTAGATTAGCTCCTTGGGTTAGGGTTAGGGTTAGATTAACTCCTTGGGTTAGGGTTAGATTAACTCCTTGGGTTAGGGTTAGGGTTAGAGTTAGATTAACTCCTTGGGTTAGGGTTAGGGTTAGGGTTAGATTAACTCCTTGGGTAAGGGTTAGGGTTAGGGTTAGGGTTAGATTAACTCCTTGGGTTTTTGTAACTTGTCACCTTAGCCCCTTTATAAGCTCCCAAGTTACAATTACATTTTAGGATAAACATTAGTATACCAGCCCACACACAGGCTATGGACTTAATATATATCAAGGAAATTATTTCTTCTTTCAGTGGCCAACAAATGGATCCGAGAGACTGCTCAAATCTTTCATCATCCATGCCCTGCCAAGCTCACCAGGGTCACATCTAGACCTTGACAAAGGATTAGACCAGGGTCAGATCTAGACCTTGACAAAGGATTAGACCAGGGTCACATCTAGACCGTGACAAAGGATTAGACCAGGGTCACATCTAGACCTTGGCAAAGGGTTAGACCAGAGATAAAGTCCAATCAATAATTAATAATCAGAAATCGACTAGCAGTCAAATCAATAGATAATCAGTTTGTGTAGACCTCCATAGCTATATCTCAATTATAATATTGAATAAGATATCCTCCCACACAATGAATGATTACAGGTCGACGTATTATACGCCATTAAACCCGTTGAGTCTGCATGTCTGCTGGATCTGTCTCTGTTCAACCAAGCTGCAAGGCAGCTGTTGTTTGATTCTAGAGCTTCACGTCTAATTGCGTCGTTGTTTCTATCAAACGTTGTCATGAGGCAGATTTCCCAATTTGGGGCTTTTGGAATTAATTCATACAATTATAATAATTTGTTTATAAAATAATAATTAATTGATAAAATGAAAATAATTTATTTATGAGTAACTTATAGCAGTCACCCTTACGTAAATGTTCCGACATCAGGTCAAATTGTACTCCCATCATTATGATCAAACTAACATATGTTGGTACATTAAGAAAGCCTTTAATTAAAAATTATATAAATTCCCAAACACCAGACAGCGCATGGTATATGATTATGATCCATAATGAGCACATAAGTAACGGGCGTTTACTAATAACTTTTACATCAAGTGCCAGTGCATAGCCTGGCCGTCACCGCTTGTAAAATAAATGAAGGTAGTATGTTATTCAAAATACCTTTGTTTTACCTACCACATTGCACTTTATCAATCCATACAAATTCTGAAAAACCTTTCTTACATGAAAACAAACTCAAAGGAAGTAGTTTTTTTCCTTCCGTAATATTATTTTTGTGAGTTATCTAGGAAAGTGGTTTGTATAATTTTGTAAAGAAATTATTTTTTTTATGATGAATAAATAATTTATGGTTGCTTTCGTACTTTGCCCTTTACTTGAATTGAAACTTCATCTTAAAAATGAACATTCGTTTTAGATAATATATTGGATTTTCTAAACATCAATTTAAACTTATGTACAAAAATTAAACCTTAGCTCAGTGGCGATCAAGCTGAGTTTTTAAATATAAAAGTGTCTACCCTGAATTTTCTACATTCATATAAACTAAGTCTATTATATACTATAAATAATTGAGTATAATATTTTATACTATAAAGATATTTTTTTTTAAATCTTTATAGTACAACTAGCCGTCCCGGCCAGGCCCTGCTCTGGCTTCTGTGAAAAACCTTTCTGTTAAAGACCATTACCTGTGTGTTTAGTAATCATCATAAACCCGGAATTGCCCACCCAAACCACAACCAACCAAAACCAAAACAACAAAACGCAAACATAACGATAACACAATTACAAATACAAACGAAAACAAAAACCTAACAACAAACACAACCTAAAACACCAATACAAACACAAAGAAAAAACAAACAAAAAAGCAAACGAAAACAAAAACCTAACAACAAGCCCAACCACAACCACAAACACCAATACGAATACAAAGAAAAAAACAAACGAAAAAGCAAACGAAAACAAACCAAATCCAAACGCAAAACCAACCACAAACACAAACCCAAAGAAAAAAACACAAACGAAAAAGCAAACGAAAACAAACCAAATCCAAACGCAAAACCAGCAACAAACACTAATACAAACACAAACCCAAAGAAAAAAAAACACAAACGAAAACGAAAAAAGAAAGAACAAAAAAGAACCAAATCAAAACGCAACCACTAAAGCAAACCCAACCTAAACACAATGAAAACACAAACGCGAACATAAACGCAAAGTGCTCACAGTCTAGCCCGGGGCAGAATCGCCTGTTTCAGCTTAATAAACGACTATAGTACCCCAACTTATTCATAGTCTTTTGCACTCACTTAAACGAACGTAGGTTCCAAACCAAACCAAATGAACAATTATAATACTCCAAGCTTAACCATAAAATACCTACAACATTTGCACTTGATCAATCCCCGCTAATTATGTAATTATTTTTTCCCAACACCAAAACAAAGTAATAAAAAGTAAATTATTTTCCACTAATGCAATGTTTTATAAAGGGAAGTAATTGTGTTTTCCTAATTTATCAAAGGGAAGTAAGTGATAAAGGACTAAATAAAAATAATTTTCAGACATAATTAGAATTTTTGTAAAAGATGGTATTTTTTTTAAATTCTGTTTAATGAAAATGCCGACAATTATAACTATCAGTTTGAAAAATGAAAATTATTTCCCCAACACTTTCAATAGTAATTTTTAAACTCATAAATTTAGACTATGAGCACGATAATAATCTAACACTTAAATTCATCGAAGTATGTCAACGACAAACTTATTACAAACATACAGAATTGAGCTTTATATATTAAATGTGGTTCTATCCTGATTCTATCGAGGTGTTATAATCAGATTTTTTTTCTTCCTATGAATGTCATACAGGCCTATCCTCCATTTAATTTATTTTTGTATTTTTGTTTTGGCTAAAGTTTAAAATTGTATTTTTGAACATAAATTCTCTAATCTGCTTCTTTATGCTTTATGAATGGGTTGGATATTGTAGAGTTTGTCGAAAATTATTTTTGGAATGATGACGTATTTGTTTACTATTGCAGCTGAAGATGGCTGTATTGGTATTTTTCCAAATTGTTGTTTATTTTGTTGCTCAGTTTGGTCCAAGTTTCTTGGTCGGCTTTTGTTGAGTAACTGCTATGCGTCAGAGGCGTAGCAAGGCGGATACGGTGGGTGTTTACCGTACGCGGTGGTACCCGACCTAGCGACGCCACTGGTAAATGTTATCCTGAAAATTCAGAGTTTGTTATTGTGATTTCTATATCTCTATACTATTAAAACTCAACTTTGTTTACATGTTTGAATATTTATTTGTTTGTCTGATTTACTACTGAAGAGAATCTGTCATATGTATAGACCTGTAAAATAGTATATAGGTAGAGAACAATTTTTCTTTTCAGACAGACTGTTAATCACAAATTTATTTCAAGAATTTAATTACTTTATTGATATTAATTGCTAGATTAACCACATTAATTTTAAAAGTTTCAAACAATAGCTTTATTTTGACTGAATAGTGACGTCACATTATTTGTTTACTTTTTAGTACAATAAAATGGCGGCTTCCGTCGAAGAAGATTGTGTTCCCATTCCAATGTTTAACGTCTTCTAAAGCTAATTTTCTGTCGCCTATAACTTTAACGATACGTCCGTTTGCTGTATTTATTACCTTCCAACACTTATATCAATTTTCAACTGTCTTTTTCATTTAGTTTTACAATAAATTTCTCTAGCTCTACAATCTGTCCAAGAAAGTTATTTATAAAACTAAATATCAGGTGGCCAAGAAAGTTATTCATAGATCTAGATCTAGAATCTAGGTCAAACCAAAGATTAATTACATACAAACCAAAGATTAATTAGATCAAAATACAATGCATTTTATAAACATAATACATTTTTTAGTCCTTAAATACTTAATATAAATCTTTGTGATTTATCTATCTAGATCTAGATCTATCTAGCTAGAATAGGTCTAATGATTAGATCTAGTTCTAGATCTAGCAAGAGTTAAGAAAAAACTAGACTTAAGCATACGAGTCGTAGAATCTAGATCTAGATAATTCTATCTAGATCTAGATTTTCATACCTTCATTATTTTATATAAATCTTTGTTTGTCTAGCTATGTAATTGGCTAATTTAAGATAAAATTTAATTTAAAAGTTACTATTACTAGACTTAGATCTAGATCTATGCGCGTAAATCAAGTTGCATAAGGAGACTTAAAGTATTAAACTATACATAAAATAAACCGGGAGTGATCTCCCCTAAACTTTCTCGAATATTCTTATATAACTTGGAATGTAGACATGATTTTTAATTACTTAAACTTTTAAAAAAAAATTCATAAAAAGCGTTTTAATAACAAGCTTTTATGTAATGATGCACTAAAAAGTAGAAAATAAATTATAGACTACTATTTAAATAACTATAAAGAAAAGCGTGGGTCACTTTAGTATCTATTGGATACCTTTACTAATGTTAAGGAAGACACCCACGCTTTTCTTTATAGTTATTTAAATAGTAGTCTATAATTTATTTTCTACTTTTTAGTGCATCATTACATAAAAGCTTGTTATTAAAACGTTTTTTATGAATTTTTTTTTCAGTACTTTACATGTTTTATTTACAATAGAGTTACATGACTAAAAACCATTGCGCGCCTACTGAACATCACGTTCAGTAGGCGCGCAATGGTTTTTGAACGCAGCCATTACGTGATGGCGCAGCTATTGAAGGTGATGACGCGTGTGGTGTGGTTGGCTAGACATGCCTACTAATTCGGTCCAAATTTTTATTAATTCATAAAAAATTAATTAGGCATCCAATTAAGTCAAATTTAGTTTCAGATTGCATTGTCTTCATGTCTTGACCCACGTGCCAACTGTGAATCGTATCGGTCAAGTAGAACTGTCCGAATTTTCACTCCTGCGTTTCCGTCTAGACAGACAGACAGAGGAAGTAAGTTAAATAAAAGCTTGTAAAAATAGAATAGAATCTCATAGAAAAAAACATTGCGCACCCAACAAACGCCGAAACAAAATTTGCATAATAGTGCGCAATACTATTAGTACTTTAAAAATTTACATTAGTTTTTTGAGAAATCGGAAGTAGCGTAAATTACTACTTCCGGTCAACGGAAATTACTCAAAATTTAACAGAAGGTAGAGAATTAGATCTTTTACTTACATGTGAAATTTCATTTATCTATCTGAAATAGTACTCAAGTTATAGGCTTTTGAAAAATTGAAAGTAGAAAAAGTACCACTTCCGGTTGTCGGAAATCGCTCAAAAGTTGACACGGATCTACGATTTTGATATAATACTTATATATGAAATTTCATCAACCTAGCTGTAACGGTACTCAAGTTATCGTGTTTACACACAGACACACAGACACACACACACACACACAGACATACGGACAAGATTGCAAAATTATGTTTTTCCGTATCAGTGAGGTGTAAAACGTCGAGATTTGTAAAAATCTCGATTTTTTTTGCACGATTACAATACTTTCTCTATACTACGTATATACGAGAAAGTAAAAAGATCAGTGATAAGTTGTTAGTGTAATCGGCTTTCATGCGGGTGGCACGGGTTATGGACACGTCAATGTTTAATTTTAATTTTTATTTTTAAGATGTGAATGATAAAGTTGCCTATCTGAACTCGGCGGGATACAGGGAAGGTGAAGTAAAGTTCATCTGTTTCTTTGTCTTAAGCATATGAAGGGATAGTTTGGTCAGAGACATGCTCGGCTGGAATCGTTTTTTTTAAACGATAAAAACATGTTGTCTGAGACTTGGCGGGATACTGGACAGGTGAAGTAGAGTTGAGTAGGTCACCTGTGACGTCACTATATGAAGGGATATTCCGAAATCGGTGTTTTTAAAAGATAAAAAACATCTTTTTGAATGTGGGGTCTGGTTTTTTGTGACGATAAGTGACAGACGTGATGCTTTTTATGGATGACCCCCGAAACCCACAGTTATCCAATGGATGACGGGTAGTCTAGTCTATATACTACTAAAAGTTAAGTTTGTTTACATGTTTGAATATTTATTTTTTTGTTTGTTTTTTTTGTTTGTTTTCTTGTTTGGCTGATTGACTATTGCGCATGGTTGCACTCATCGTGGAGAGCTGTAAAATAGTATGAAGGTAGAGAAAAAATTTTGTTTTAAGACAGACTGTTAATCACACATTTATTTAAAGACGTTAATTAATTTATTGATTTATTCATACGTAGAGTAACCCTATTTTTTTAAAAAGTTTAGAACGACCACTACACTCGGCGGGACCGTGACGTCACAGTTTTTTGTTTACTCTTTAGTACAATAAAATGGCGGCGTCTATCGAAGAAAATTGTGTTCCCATTCAAAAGTTTAACGCGTTCTAAATCTAATTTTCTGTCGGCTTTAACTTTAACAATACGTCCGTTTGCTGTATTTATTACGTTCCAACACTTATATCAATTTTCAACTGTCTTTTTTCATTTAGTTTTACAATAAATTTCTCTAGATCTAAAGATCAGCTGTCGAAGGAAAGTTATGAATCTAGCCTAGATCTAGCCTAGATCTAGGTCACTAGACTCAATGTAAATTCTAGATCTAGACTTAATGTAAATTCTACATCTAGAATCTATTTCAGGCCTTAATACATCTAGAATCTATTTCAGGCCTTAATTATTTTATATAAATCTTTGTTTGGCTAATTTAAGATAAAATTTAATTTGAAAGTTACTACTACTAGACTTAGATCTAGATCTATGCGCGTAAATCAAGTTGCATAAGGAGACTCAAAGTATAGTATAAAAATTCATTTGTGTCGTCACGAGTAAATAGCTAAGTTGGTAGTGTAGTCGGCTCTCATGCGGGTGGCACAGGTTCTAGACCAATATGTAAATGATATTTTTTATCATTTTTTTTTTAGATGTGAATGATAAAATTGCCTATCTGAACTTGGCAGGATACAGGGCAGGTGAAGTAGAGTTCATCTGTTTCTTTGTCCTAAGCATATGAAAGGATAGTGTGGTC